GTTAAAATGGAATTTCTCATGTTTATATGAATTTAAGAATTCAAAGACATTCTGAGAAGACATGAGATACTGGACAAATGTGACATACTATAGTATTATTCATCTGACATCTAAAATTCTTATTATTACTGAATAACTGTTATAACAGATGCCTGTGAATATGGTAATGCAAATCTTTTACTTAAAATTAAATCTTAGAAATGGGTAACTATTACTTACACATACCCCACTTTTGCTATATGGTTTTTCAGCCATCAAAAAGTTCTATTTTTAAAATAAAGAAGGTTTGGTTGAAATTGGCACTCGAATCTCTTAAATATAAATAAATATAAATTTCAAATTTATTGCAAACACTTTAATTTCTTTACCTTTAAAGAAGAAACCAATAAATAGGTTTGGGTCAAATTTTAAAGGAACCATTATTCACATAAATGTGACTTGCCAAATCACTGAATAAATCTGGCTTCTAGATTTAATTCAGAACACTGTTCTACTAAGGAAAAAAGTGAAATCCTATTATTTTCTTTCAAATCTCAGAGAAAGCTGCCTCTTAAAATATCCACTAATTTGATAAAATAAATACAAATTCTTTCTCTGGTACTAAAATAAATCCATAATCCCCACGGCCCCCCTTCAAAATTTAAGACTACTAATGAATAAATTTTCACAAAAATCCAGTAATGGTTCTATTGACAATGATTTTATGTATAAATGTAGAAGAATAATTTTCCCCCTAATTTTATCAACAATGGAGCCAAAATAAAACCAAGGCAGCCAATAACAATTAGGATTAGGATTAGCAATTTAGGATGCCATAAAATGATGGATCTCAGAATGCTTTTATTTATCCTGGTGGCTGAAGAATGTGTGGCTTAGGCAGTAAAAAGTGTCAAAATGCAGCTGTGAAAATGAACAATAGCAATTAGGATTATAATTCACCCAAGCATTTCATTACCAAGAATGCACTTGAAATCTCTTTGCATTGTTTAATTTGTTGGAGAACGAGATGAAAGGAGTTAATCTCCAGTCCATGTACATGAAATATTTTTACCAGAGCCTTCATAAATGCTGTAGCTTTCTCAGAACACTACTTTCCTTGTTCCAGCTACAAAGGCCCATGGGTCAAATGAGAAAGGTCTTGTTTCCGTAACCCTTCACAAGATTCTTAGCTGAAGGCCTGTGGGTTTGAATGCTGTGTGTGTAGAGGGAGAGGTGGCAGAGAGCCAATAATTTAAGATTCTCCTTATTTCTTTGGTTGAAAAACAATGGGAGCCATCAGAACATACTCGAATTTTAGTTATAAAGTATACCCACAGACAGATATGGCAACTATTAATACTAATGTAACAACAAAAAAATAACGGAACACTTTCATGGAGAGAATCAGGCTTTATTTTAAAGCTATTTTCTAATGAAATTGTTGCTTTCAGAAACTGGAAAAAACTAAGATTAGATCTGATGGCCTAAAGAATTCCAAAACAAAGTATTTTTAAGCTTCACTTAATTCAGAAACAAATGTAAACTAAAACAAAACAAAACAACACTGTATAGTCTGGCCTTATTCCAGGTCACTTCAAAAATAAGTATTTCTAAAAAGGTAGAAATGGTATTTTGGTCCTTCCTTTCTCATGTTTTCTATTGCCCATAATCCATGCCCTACCCATATTCCAGTGACCTTTTTAAAAAAGAAAAACAACCCCCTCCCACTCCAAGAAAAAAAAAAAATTTACGTCCAGATGTGAAAGGAAAAAACAGCTAGTTTAATTCTTAAAACTTCCTATGATTGACACGAATGTCTTAAGACTAGACATTTCAGACGCTAGAGGGAGCTCTCTCAACAGGTTTTTAAATAGACACAAAATCCAGACAAAGGTCTAGAATCTGTTCTGAAAACAAAATTATAGAAAAAGACCAGTAAGTTTCGCACCATTTAGATTAATACTATAGTCAAACAAGTGACTTGTGTACTTTCACCAATCCTAGACTAAGATTCCTGACTTGAAAATTTTAAAAATTATCTCCTCACACTCAGTTTTAAAAGAATAGTACAAGGCAATCATTATTAAGATCTTTTGTTAAAGACTCAACAGTGTTTGGATACAGACTTTTCTACTTACATTTCCTTTCACATAACTATCATTATAGCACTGAGAAAGCAACCAAGAATACTCAGATGAAACACCAAAAAAATTTTGTGTATTATTTTAAACCAGCCTAACAGTGGTATCAAAAAAGAATTTGACCCACAAAAATGTCTAATGGTTTTTAATTATTTCTGATGATCACCACCAATAACTACCTTTTATCTCTAGGTTTTTCCTCAAACATAAACAGACATGGGAATGTAATAATGGAGAAGGGAAAAGTAAAAGAAGAAAAATAATTTTAATAAATGTGGCTGTATTTTTGAAATTTCTTCACTAGCATTAAAAAGTTATCTGTAATTTTGAGAACAATCTAATAGTCACCAGAAGGCACAAAATGAGCCCTTCTCGCATGTACTCTAGGTTTATTCGATATGTAAATTTTCTCTTTGCTGAAAACAGAAGTCTTGAAATGGGTGACTGGAAGAAGAGGTTTCTCTGTCCTGATAATGATAGATAATGATTAAGATCACGCTGTTTAAAGGTAACAGTAACTGCTACTACTGGATAAGCAGTATAACTGGTAACAAATACCAAAACTTAAGGGACTCTAATGTTAGGTCAAAAAGAAAAGGGAGAAAGGAAGGGAAAGATGGAGGGAATGACCAAAGAGTGAAAAATGCGAGGGGAAAAATCCACAAATAGAATCATTATTGTTTATATTTCTAAAACTGTTCACTGCTTCCACAGTGCTTTTTATCCACTTTCACATTTGCTCCTCACAACACCCCCAGCAACAGGTGGGACTTTAACTCTGCACAACTAAGCATCACACACTCACTGGATCTTTAATGTCAACTGCTAAGTTACCATCCTTAGTTCTTTACACACGCTTCTATAGCTAACACGCAATTAGTCAAGGGTCGATTACTCAGTCTGTAAGCTACTAGTTAGCGTTCATGGTGGCCCTCCTCTTTATTCCCTATTTTCTGCTTATTTGACCATTCGATGCTGATAAAATACCACATTATTTTACTTGAAAAGTTTGGGTACAGCTTTTAGAGGCAGAATTGGTTAAGATAATCAACGCTTCTTCTGCATTAAGCATAATCAGTAAAATGATTAACAAAGAAAAAAAACGAGCAGTCCTTACTATTGACATTTTTTCTTCTTAAAAGCTCAAGAATATGCTTTGCTAAAACAAAACTATACACCAAGAGAAAAGGTAACGTATAGGTATAATGTGGTCCTAACTGCTAATAAAGGAGTAAAGAAATTGAAACAGATGGATGTAGTAAAAAGTATTTTTCCCAGCTTGCCTCTTTAATTTTCTTTTTTTA